GCAGGGGAAGAGGTCAAGGTTTGGTCAATAACAACATATTCTCTTCTTAAATTATCACATTATAATATTTTAGCTAGATAAGACCCGCTCTAAACTCAGGATCAACTATGCAAAACTAAAAGGGCTGGGGGGCTGAGACCACCCAGGGCTAACGTCCTGTAGAAATGAGTCTAAGCAGCTCTTGCAAAAGAATCACAAATCACCAACACTATCACAACCCAACTGTGTTCATCTACCAACAGACAAAGTAGGTTTTTTGTTAAAATACTTGTACAGGCTTTTACTTCTCATTACCCTGGTATTAGCTAACACTAGCTCACCCCACCCTCTGCATTCAGACCATTTTCCCACACCACTGCTTTGACAATATCCCTACTGTCTCAGTACCTCTTCACTCTACCAAATTAAATCCATCTCATCATTCCTAGATTTTGGAAGTCCAACAAGACACCAAACCCTACCTCCAAATCAGCTGATAGTATCAGCCTAATACCACTAGATATCAAGAGTATCATTAGATTTTGAAACAAAACCTCTTCAAATATTCTTCCATACAATCTCATTATTCATATATTATTTATATGTCTCAGTAATACAACTCTTCATCCAGTCTCAGAGCACCTGAATTCTCCTTTCCCTGCTGAAAGCCCCACCTAAGAGTTTATTAATGCCATGTCTCTCTTCATGCTTCCCAACAATTGTCACTTAAATTGGATTGAAAGCTTTCTGTGGTGGGAACTTGTTTTCTTTCGGGGAGGGAGTGTGGATGTTCTGTACAGCTCTGACTGCACAGCAACAAGCACATGATGAATGGTGCTGGCAGACAGAGTAACATAGATTCACAGATTACATTTATGAAACAGACTATTATTTAAAACAAAGGTACTTAAGTGCTCTTGTACTCCTAGATCAATGGCAGAACTGAATCTACAGGAAAATATCTACTTTTCCAGAATATTAAAGAAAAGACTGCTGAGATCTGCCAAGTTATGAGAGTCAAAAGCTCTGTGATAAAATACTAAGTGGAGCACCCAAAATGGAAAAACGACCATGTCTGTCCTAAAAAACTAGGGAAGGAACAAAACTAATGCAAATGCACGGTGTATTTTTTTCCACATGCTAGAACACAAACCCAAGTCCTTTCCATGTAGACAGAGCAAGAGAATTTGTTGCCCTGCAGAAGTCGACACGTGCGAGCCGAGCTCTGTGCCCACGCAGATCCCTTATGGCATGCATATGCAGTTCAAAAAGAAAGCTCGCAGGGCAACGTGAATGCTCTGCTCCCCTCACTCCCTCCCTGCCATACATGCCTGCCTGCCTCCCGGATGGCAAGCAGCCAAGAGACAGCTTGTCTGAGCACGCTTGATGGTACACAAAAGTCACCAGGAGCCACAGTAAGTTACTGGCATCTGGGGGCAAGCCGTGCCTTTTACTAGAGGATACTCTGTGAATCCTGTCTTGAGAAAAAGCCTTCAGGCACTCTTCAAAACACAGCTTTGATACATCCAAAGTTTTGGATGGGCAGATGGAAAGTCTTTGTCTCTCCATCTGTAGGCTTAAGGCTTAGCAGATCAAATCTATGATCAATCACTACCTCTGTGCTCTCTACTGCCTACCATGTCAAACATTTCATA